AAAAAAAAAAAAAAAAAAAAAAAAAAAAAAAAAAAAAAAAAAAAAATTCTCTCTTTTTAAATAAGTGCTCTGAGTTTTTACTTGCGTCTTAGTTTATCTTCCAGTCTAATATAGGTAGAGGTTAGAATGCAGGTTGCAACACTTCTTCATTTTTACCCAGATTTTCTAGTGATAGGTTCCTAGCAATTCATGGTTGTTTTTGTATTTATGATGCATGCTAAATAAACCTCAGTGTGATTGGTTAGAGGAAAATTACTTCTTAAAAGTGCATCTTCTTAACACAGATGCATATTCACAAAGAATCATCCATTTGCTGACAAAACTACTAACACACATCCACCATGCAAGGGACAAGAGACAATTTTTAACTTTTTATGACTTGCCTTCTGGAAAACAATCTGCCAAGAATGGTGAATCCATTTAAAAACGTTCTTTCCAGGCAGGGAAAAGGCATGGGAATGGGAAAGAAGCCAGAAACATTTGCAGAAATAACAATAAGAGTAACAATCCAGCCCCCCCAAGAAGCATTGGGCAGAAGGGAAGAGTCAAGTGTTATTGCAAATGGGGATCTGTTTTAGCTTTGAGATTTACATCAACATCAGAGATGAGCTGAGATGAAGGGACTCCACAATTCAGACTGATCCATAGGCTGCAGAAAAGATCCTGGACCTCCCACAGGGCCTGACCCCAAATCAGAGGTTGCTTCAGAAGTAGGGAGGCAAAGAAATGCATGCAGGTGTCCTTATTTTGTTCTGATGTACAGGGTTTCTGAAAACTTCACAATTTTTTTGATTATTCAGTACCCTCAGCCTAGAGTGTCAGACTTCAGGACTATAAGAGACCTTGAGATATTCAAATGCCTCTGAAGCAGGGTCAGGTATGCTCAATAGATGTTTATCTAATCTGTCTTTTAAAAACCACTGCTGCAGAAGAGTTTCAGAGTCTCCTGTCTCTCACTAGCCTGTTCCTGTCCTTTGATAATATCCAGCTTAAGTCGTCTTTTGCTAATTAAGGTGATTTCCTTTTTTTTCCTCTTTGTTCTTCCCTCAGTGGACATGGAGTACAATTGATCACAGTCACTGTTTTTTAAATAAACAGCTTTGTCATCCAACATGTAAACCTACCTCCAATCCTTCTCTTCCCACCCACCATTTTTTTTTAGAGAACTGATCTAATTCTTCCAACTTTCCACATAGGCTATGCAGTTTCCAAACATTGTTCTTGTTTCTCTTCTCTACTTTGGGCTGTCTCTAGCTTACCTAAATAAGAACTCAATTTTTTCATCAACATTTCATTGTCTCCATTGTTGACTCATTTAGTTCACAGTTCCACTATAACCCTCAGATCTATTTCTGCATTACTGCTGTACTTGATTTCTTCTTTTATGCAGCACTTTCCAGCTCCTCCCCCCACCCTTTAGATTAGACCATTCCTCTAATTGATTAATATTGATCTTCCAAAGCAATTTCAACACATAGGTTGGTGTCCCCCACAAATCTTATAAGTTGTCTCCTGCCTCCTTTCCCCTGCCCCCACTTTCATTATCAAGTTCTTCCCCTTTATTAGAGATCTGATAATACAGGACAGATCCTATGGCCCCCACTTAGTGCCATTCCAGTTGGACTGTTTGTAATCCTAATTGGGATTACATCTCAACTGTACTTCGTTAGCTGATTTGAGAGTAATAATTTTGACTCTATCCTGTATGAACAAAGTTGATGTATTGCGTTTACTACTTTTCACTCCACTCTGCACACACAAGCAGAGTGGAGTGGTAGTGAGCTAGGTAGTTTTCCTGCAGCAGCACTGCAGGAAGCTCTTCCAAGCCAACTGGCTTCCTCCATCCTGGATGCATCTGTGTGGTGTTGATCAAGTCTTTATGCTCGCATATGCTTCGCAGCCCAGCCATCACCTACATCCCAGTTACCTGTGGTTTTTGAGAAGCTTTGTTAGCCGACTCTTCCTGCAGTAATGATACCACAGATCCTGCTGCCTTTTTGGAGACATTCAGGCTGTTTCCAGGAAATCAAGACCAGGACCTTACTCTCCTGCTGGTGGTTCTAGCTCCCTTTTGTCTCTGAGCTGTGGTAGTTTCTCCATCCCGTAACAATCTGTGTACTTAACTAAATCCTTCCGTATCTTGAACATTATGGGTTTCTTTCTTTGTATATTATGCAGATGTCTGGGTGGGCATAGAGATATCATGGGGGGGTTTCTGCTATGGGCCACCAAACCAGTAGGAAGGGATAGATGAGGCCATCTTTAAACAACTGATGGAAGCAATCAAATTGCAGAACCTGGTTCTCATGGGGAACTTTAATACTTAATACAGATGTTAAACAGGCCAGTTGGAGGGGAGCTCTTGTCACAGACAGGAAGGAATTGGTTGAGAATGTGAAGGGGGAAGGCAACTGGTTGACTGACCACAAAGCAATAGCATTCAAGTTCCTAAGGGGAAGAAGGACAGTGAGCAGCAGAGGGAAGACACTGAACTTCAGAAAAGCAGACTTTAGTAGACTTAAGGAACTGGTGGGCAGAATCCCATTGGAGGCATGTCTGAGGGATAAATTAGTCCCAGAGAGCTGGCTGTATTTCAAGAAGGCCCTTTTAAGGGTGCAGGAGCAAGCTATGGTGATGTGACGGAAGAATGGGAAGTGCAACAAGAGGCCAGCCTGGCTAGACAGCAATCTTTCTTCAACGACTTGAAACCCCCAGAGGAATCCTACAAAAAGTAGGAAAGTTGGTTATAGTACTAGGGAGGAATATAAGGGTTTTGCACGATACAGGTGTACAGGGAGAAAGTTAGGAAGCCAAGGCATGATTTGAGATGCAACAGAAAAGGCAATAACAAGGTTTTTTTCCAAATATATCAAGAAATAAGAGGACAGCCAAATGAAATCATAGGTCCCTAGAGACATACAGAAGGTAATGCAGAGAAGGCTGAGGTTATAATGCCTTTTTACTTCAGTCTTCACAAATAGAGGCATCTACCAGATGATGAGCGCCATTGGCAGCAAAAATAGGGACTGAGGCAGATAGCCTGGAGTAGTAGAAGAACAGGTGTTGGGGGTTACTTACAGAAGCTTAGATGCCTTCAGGTCAGTGGGGCCAGATAGGCTGCATCCAAGGGTACAGAAGGAATTGGCTGAGGTAATTTCAGAGCCATTAGCTATCTTTGAAGACTTGTGGAAGTTGGGTGAGGTCTGGGATGATTGGACAAGGAGCATATCTAGTGTCTGTCTTTAAGAATAGGTTGAAAGAAGACCTGGGGAGCTACAGACCAGGCAGGTTGACCTCAATACCTGGAGCAATTCTTCAGGGAACATACTGTGAAGTTCCTGGAGGAGAACAAGACAATTATTGGGAACAGCCAGCATAGCTGACCAACCTTATTTCTTTCTAAGATAGGGTGACAGGCTCCGTGGATGGAGAGAGAGCAGTGCATGTGATATACCTTGACTTTAGAAAGGCTTTTGACATCTCCCATAACACTAGCTTGTTTAATGAGACAGTACTTACATGTAGTCTGAATAAGGTGGATATAACTGGATTGGCATACTCAACCATTAGACATCAGTGGTTGGTTCTCTAGTTGGGAGTAGGCATCAAGTGGGGTTCCCTGGGAGTCTGTCCTGAGTCTGGTCCTGTTTAGTGTCTTCACTAATGATTTGGATAATGGGATTGAGTGCACACTTAGCAAATTTGTGGATAACATCAAGTTGGGTGGAATTAAGGTGGAGTTGCATACGCTTCGGAGGCAGGGCCAAGATACATAATGATTTGAATAGGCTGGGGAAGTGATCTGGTGCCAGTCGGATGAGGTTCAACAAGGATAAGTGCACAGTTCTGCACAGAATAATCACACGCGCAAATGGACTAGGCAATGATTGGCTGGACTGCAGTACTGAAAAGAGGTACCTGGGGGTTTGGATCATAAACTGGTTGTGAGCCAACATTGTGCTCTTGTTCATGGTTTCCATCTCACTCCCTGCCCCCACCCTCCAACAGTATACTTTTCCTTTTCTCTTTGCTCCTTGTGAGGCCTCACCTGAAGTACTGTGTCCCATTTTGGGCCCCCTGCTACAGAAAGGTGGACAAATTGGAGAGAGTCCACTGTAGAGTGACAAAAATGATTAGGGACCTGGGAAACAAGGGTTATGAGCAAAGGCTAGAAGAGCTAGGATTATTTAGTTTGGAGAAGAGAAGTTGGGTAATTTTGATAAGTCTTCCAATACCTGAAGGGAGATTACAGAGAGGCTGCAGGTGGGTTTTTCTCTGTGGCTGTAGGGGATAGCACAAGGGGCAATGACCTCAAGCTGCAGCAGGGGAAATTTAGGCTGATATAAGGAGGAATTTGACTCGGAGGCTGGTCAAACATTGGAACAAGCTACCTAGAGAACCCGGGGAATCTCCATCCTTGGAAATTTTCAAGTGCTGGTTGGCAGACACTTGGCTGGGATGATTTAGATAGGCCCCTTCTATGCTTTGGGAAGGGCTTGACCAGATCTCTGACCAAACCCTATATCGATCATTGGATCACCAAAAATACTAAGATGCAACTAATTGGATATGAAAGAAAGGGAAAAATACACCCTGTGTACTCATCAAAAGCCTTGGGCAAATCGAGCAGCCTCATTCTCCAAAGTCACATTTGGGTGGCGTGTGCAGAATTACAGGATTTACTTTGCTGTCCATAAAGTGATCTGTTGTCCCTCTGGAAATGTCAGTGTGTGGCATAAGGCAGCCTATTAAATTGTCCAACCTTTGAGTTTGAGTTTGTTTCTAGCAAGGGGCTTTCCCATCAACAGAGGAGGTAATGGGAGCTGCATCTGATGATGATGGTGTGGAAGTGGGCCATTTGTCTCCCTTCTCTTGGGGTAGTGTTTCCAAGAATTGGTGCTAAGGATTGTATCTTCCCTCTTCTCCTTCCTCTTGGAACAATTCATTTTGAATTTAATAGAAATTGAGCAGCATTAAGGAAAATCCGAAAACTTGGTTTTTGTCTGGATATCATGGCCTTCATCAGAGCCAGCAGAACAAACTATATTTTTGCAACTCTCCTTCCTTTTAGCTTATATAGTATGTCTTGATATTCCATGAAGGCTGAGTTTGTGATGGAAAATTCAGGTTTAAATACAGGAGTCTGGCTGGAATAATGGGATCATATTCCAGCTGTAAGGCAATTTTGAGGTAGATGGAATGAGTTATGTTGGTGTGTGACACAGAAAATTAATATGTTTAGGAGGGCAGGGACTATAAGATGAAAATTAAAATGAGCAAAGTGCAGCTTAACCCCAGGGGAGACAGACTGTGGAACCACTAGGAGAGGAAAGAACAAGGCAAGAAATGTTTTCCTTTATGCTCTCCGATCTAACAAAGGTGTTCCTGATTTTTTTTTTTTTTTTTTTTTTTTTAAAAAAAAAAAAAAAAAAAGGAAACCCTTTTTTAGATCGGGGGGCAAAAAGGAAAAAATTTTTTCCCTTTTTGTCCCCCTTTTAAAAAAGGGGTTTCTGATTTTTTTTTTTTTTTTTTTCTTAAAAAAAACAAAAAAAACAAAAACCTCCTGTCCACCGTTGGCCTGTTTGTACCTACCATCCCTTCATTGGTTTAAAAAAACCCAACCCAAAACATTAATGAATGGATGGAGTTTCTAGTTCAGATCAGTGTCTTGCATTTCACTGGCTTGAAAAAAAAAAAAAAATGGAAACCAAAAAAACCCCACAAACTCTCCTGTGCTTATAGCTTGACTAGCATTTCAGGATCCTTTGGGGTGAAATATGATGTCATAGAAGATGCTGTTGTTAGAGATGCAGAAGTTCAGACTTTGGCACCTTGGCTCATTGCAATTCTTGTACGAGGAGCAGAATGCATCAGGAAGCCTTGCTGTGCTGAGGACACTCCAGGTATGATGGGGCTGAAGCTGCATTACTCTGTTAGCAGGAATCGCTGGCCTTTGTCCTTATGAAACTAGAACAATGTTGAACTCTTCTCTGCTCCAGATGTTTTAGACTTTGTTTTCGGCAGGCAGTCATGGACCTCGTCAGTGAACACGCACTGTCCCTGCAGGCCACATTTTAGCTTCTTCTAATTCAACAAACATTGTCCTAAAATATAACAAAATCCCAATGTGTGTTTATTCCTCTGGCTTCATTTCTGGTGTTCTGTCCATTCTTAAGTTTCTCTCTAGAGGGGATTACATTTTATTGCAAATAGTTTTTCATACTTCACAGTAACATAAACAGTGACCGGGTTACAGGATTAAACCATAGGACTTGTGCACTGCAGCCCTTGATGGGCCCTACAATTTAAAAGTTACAATAACTTCCCCTTGACCTGCCTGTAGTTGAAGCGAGCATTGTTTTGAACAGAGGTTTGAGCAACTTTAGTGCATATCTTATGACCAAACATTTTTTTGCAAGTAGGGGGTGTTCACTCTAGGTGGTGCTGGCCAGATTTCACCTTTTTGTCTTGTGTTCGGTCTTGTGAAATCCAAACCTCCCCAGCGCTTCCCTTTTGGATACGATATTCGTCATTATCTCTCTGACATTTGGATGCTGTTGAAAATTGCTTGTTTTCCACCAGAGAACTGGCTGCTTTATTAGTCATGTTAAAATAATTTCTTAAATTTCTTACACTGGCTCACAGTTAACACAGGCGCACACTTTTTTTTTGACTTCTGCCCTTCATCTGTTCAGTTTGGTTCATGGCTAGCTATCCTTCATCTTGCATCCAAAAAGACTTAATTACACTCGTGTCATCTCATATATGAACAAGTGAAACAAAACAATTGTAACAGAGCTCTTTGAAGTAAGGACTGTCACTGGATTTTGAACAGCACCTGGCCTGAAATCTCTCTGGTCTCTGGACATTTTATTAAAACAACAAAAAGCTGGCTGGGCACAAATGTTTTTCTGTTCTAGGGTCTTTTTATGCAAGGATCTCAAAGTTCTTTGCAAATATTAGGCCTTACAACCTACCTTTTGAGGGGGTCAAAAGGGTATGTAGCAATCGGTTGGTCCACTCTGTAGATATAGACACTTCTGACGCTGAAAGTATAATGGTGCTTAGCAACACTTAAACAATTGGAAAGGAAATGAGACTGGACTCAATGCTCACAGGAGCAAATCTGAATAAAGAGGAAGTGTTGTAATCACTTCTCCAGAGTGTGTCCACTTTCTAACCTTGCTGTCATTCAGTTTGACTGTCTGGGAACATGAAACTTGGCAGTATTGTGGTGTGTGTGGGCACTGAGGTGTGTGTACAAGTCCTTTCATATATTGATATGCCTGTTCAACACCAGTGTCCTCGGAGTGGGTACAGAAATGCAGAAGAAGGTTGCCCACTTTTGAATTGGATTTCTTATTTCCCCAGACATTACCCTGCACTGAAGACACTAGAGCACCTTGAGCACACGTATCTGCCACAGGTGAGCCACTACCGCTTCTGCAAGATCATGGTGGATAACATTCCGAAACTGCGTGAAGAAATCAAAGAAGTTTCCATGTCAGACCTCAAAGACTTCCTGGAGAGCATCCGCAAGCACTCGGACAAGATTGGCGAGACGGCAATGAAACAGGTAGGCTTTTGTTTTGTGGTGTCTTGGAAAAGTGAAACACGCGGGCTATGCTAGACTGTCCATTTCTGTGCCAAAGCATCTAAGGATTTGTAGGAACAGTTAAAAACAACTCTTGAAACATGGAGCGAGTCCTGTTGCTGTACGAAACTGAATGATCCTTTGTTCCATGGCTGCCACGAGAGCCTGTTTTCTGTTTCATGTACAGCCACAAAGTGATGACATGTTTTTCTGTACTTTGCCCTAGATTTCTAGTAGCCCAAAGTCTAGGAGGCCGAGCTGGGTTGTATAAGCCAGATCTCCCACTTAACGGGGTAACGTAGCATTTGTACTGCTGTGCTTTGCATGGTGAAAACTTGCAGAGCTGAAGGAGCTGGTGTCAGTTTGCCATGGTCAGGGGTGAAATGTCAGCTTGCAGTAAGTATGACTTCGTGTTGCAGCCCGAACTCATTCAGAACATTAGGTACATCTTTGCACTGTTTCACAACCAGTCTGCCCTTGGGTTAATGTTTTGGAAAATAAACCTGGTTCATTATCTATGCTCTTGTACATCGGAAGAAATGGTCAGCAGCACAGAAACCCTTTTAATTTTCTCTTCCCTCTTTTTAATCTGTTGAACAGCATTCTTTCTAGTCTCTTCTGTTTTGAGGATTTTCATTTATCTGTCTTTCATGATATGCATGCTGCTTTATTATCCTTGTTGATCTCTTTAGGATATTAAAAAAAAAAAAAAAAAAGAAAAGTCTCTGGCATATCGAAAAATCTACTTTCTACTTGTAATTCCATTAGTTTGAAAATAAAGGAGAGTAGACTCCTTCTAGCATAACTAGTATTTCTAATATTAAATCAAGTTAACAAATCTTCAGTGCTAAGAGGTTAGACAGTGTATTTGTATAGGATGGTTTGGACAGGGCTCATCCTGCCTCAGGTAGGGGTTGGACTAGATGACCTCTCGAGGTGCCTTCCAGTCCTGTTTTTCTATGATTGAAATCTGAATCTATGGAGAGTGGCTGATCTCGTCCTACCAAACACCCAGACACATTGTAACTATTTCCAGAAAGTGCTCATTTTGTGTACAAGTTTCCCTCGCTTTATGCTGTACATGTTCCTGGAAAATGGTGCATAACTCATTCACATGAAGGGAACCTACTTTACAATGTAACGAATAGGGATGCATTCCACGACCTTGACTGTATTGACCCCTAAACCCATTTCTACCACCTTTCCAAGACAGTTTTGGTACTCGCCAGGAGCAGAGTACACACAAGCACAGGGCAGTATCATAATGGGGATGGCAACTGTAGAAACGCATGTTGCAGACAACGAGCGAGGAGCACAGATCCACACAGGAGACTGTTTTGGTGAGTATCACTCCCACAGTGCACTGCACAAAGCAACTGACTGCAGGCTTCCATCACACTGACTGTATAAGAGTGAATCTACTTCTCATATAATACCCCTTTTTGTATGAAAAGGGTAATGGCATAAGAGCCAGTTTGCACCTACAGGATCCACATAAAGCGAGGGAAACTTCTATTAAAATTGCTTTTAGTAGATGTCAGGAATTTTACCTGATGTGGCCAATTAGTTACTAGAAAACTTTTTATTTCTAATGGAAATGCTTTAGCTTTTGTCATAAGAGCAACTTACTTTCTTGAAAGGTCATTCTTTATTTCTGCTGCTTTGCATGCATAGAAAAGAGTTTTTATTCTCAGCTAATGCAGAGAATGTGCTTTTCTTTAAATATGCTTCACATCCAGATTAGTGTTTCCTAATAATTGGCGCATAAAAGGGATGCAAATGTTCTGTGTTGTTCCCTCCCACTTGCATTGCCATGATGGGGAAGAACGAGACTAGATCACTCATGTTTCACCGAGAGGCAGGCATTGGTTTCTTTTGTTGGCAGGTGACATGGGGGTGGGGGGGTAGTCGCATGCATAGTTTTGTCAGTGTTTGTCTTTAATAAAATTGGTGGGTAGAATAAAAGTCTGACACCATCTCTTTGTCCTTGCAAAGCAATATCTTGCTTTGCTTTGTCTCCTCATCTCTGGGCAGGATGTTTGTCTGCTGCTCTGCCC